ATCGAGTAAAATGTTAGTCGATTTTATGTCGCGATGGATAATCCCTTGTGATGAACCTGTGTGAAGGTAGTGTAGACCTCTAGCTGCACCAATGCATATTTCTAGCCTTCGTTTCCAAGATAAAGGGGGTAATCCAGGACCGTACAAATGGTTCCTCAAAGGCCCTTTCTCCATATACTCGTAAACAAGTATCATTTCGGATTGCTCTTCGCAGTATCCCACGAGTGAAACAAGATGATGATGACGAATTCTCGACAAAATTGTTATTTCAGTTTGGAATTCGGGTAGTCCCTGCTTGTTACCAGGCACACGTCGTTTGATAGCAACTCCGAAGTTCTCTTGGAAAATCCCTTTGTAGACTATGCCAAAACCACCTGAGCCAATTATCAGACTCTTGTCAAAATTATTTGTAGCCAGTTGTATATCAGCAAACGGAATCTTAATACCATAACAATGGACCGCCCCTTCCAATAACTTGCCATGGGAGCTGCCTCCATATACACGAACAGGAGTCCATCCTGTACTTTCAACACGTGTTGGTTCGGGTTTTCTCCTTCGGCACTTGAGTACAAACAATGTACTAATAATTGCCAAAATTAGTACAAAAGATCCACCTCCGAATGAACCAACCAAAATCCAAATGTTTTTCGTCTTAGCCCTCTTTTCTGAACCCAAAGGATTCACTATTTTCATAATCTCAACCCCATTTAAAATAGCATTCTTCCGGAAACTATTGCTGTCAGAAGGACCAACACTAATCCGAACAACGTTTGTATTTACCGAGCTCTGTACAAGAAAATCAACGAAAATAGGCGATGCTAGCTCATGGAATGCAAGCATAGACAAATCAAGATCTTTAAACGCAATGATACCATTTATATATACATTGAAGAACAACGTTTGAAGTGCAATGCTAACGATGTCACAGAAATGCAAACGAACAAAGTGCAGAGAATCCTCGGATCTTACAGGAAAATCCCATGTTATATTGAACATAAAATTCGAGGTTAGCTTATCTATATTCATCTGCTGTGCAGTCATGTATACATTGTCAGGCGCAATTTCTCTTGTGGCACCTCCTTGTTGGTAATTAGGTGGATGAATAGTCGTAGCAATTTTTGCTGCGGATTTCAAGAAAAGAAAATCATCATCTGGAATCCAATTTCTCCAAAGAGTATCATTAAAAGGAGTTAGTTTCGATCCTCCAACATTAATCCTATGAACAGTTTCTAAAATTTTCGATGAAATATTCTGCTTAAAGTCTTGAATTCCATTAGGACTAATCAACGTTATCCCCTCATCAATAATGAAATCTTTTGGTGCTGAAAACACTTCAATTGCATTTACATATGCAAAACTGGAATCATGAGTAGGCATGAACAGTATTTCAAGCTCTTCTTTATTAACCATGAAGATAAATTCTTTAAGCATAGTAAACTGAGCAGAAAAGTTGCTTAAAAGTGAATTTTCATTAGCCGAAACTACGAAACTTGCCTTCTTGAGATCAAAATCCCGAGAACTGAATGGAGAGAAATGTAGACGTACCAAGTGGAATCCAACGTTCTTGATGTTAAATTTATAGCTTGAACCAGAAGTGAAAACTCTAGCTGTACTGTACAGTACTGAAGAGTTAGATGATGGGATTGGATTCGTGAGAGAAACTGATTTACCTTTAGATAGATACGAAGAGCCATCCTCTGATGAATCCCCGGTGAAGTATCTGTTTTCGACTGCAAGAGTGTTTATGCTTGATCCACAGTTGATAAGGTAATTATCTTGGGGAGTGAAAGCAGTTGAGAAATGGATGAGAAAGAAAGTAAGAGAAAGAAAGTGAAGAACTTTAGCAGCCATGGATGCAAATTTTGGTGGAATATTGAGAGGAACTCAAGAAACATTTATAAGTGGACGTGAGTGGGAGTCAGAAAAAGTATGATATTTTTTTTCAACAAGATTCAGAGAATTTCTTCTAAAGAGACACGAGATATGAACTATTAAGACACCCTAATACATGATGACTCGTTACCAGATATAGATGACTTTCTGTTTTAGTCGACACATAAGGGCTTAATTCATGGTGCATCAATGTACAGTGACAAACGAGAAAAACTGAAATGAATTCTTGAGAAGGCAGAAGATTGGGGGAATCAGAAAGTGAAGAATTTGCTTTTACATCTATGAGAAATGTGGATTACCAATCCTAGAAATGTGAAGCTCTGCATGCCAAGATGGTCATGAATGTTAAAAGGTTGACACGACTCGACTGTAAGTCAAACTTAATTTTCTTGATTTCTGAAAAAGTAACTTTTAATTAAAGTCAAAACTCAACATGATGAAATTTTTGTCAACTGATTGAATCAATCTTCGAATCAGATTAGATGAGATGTACATATAACATGAAATCCAAGAGCCACAAATTATAAGAGGATTTTTTTTTTTTAAACGGTCGTCTCACAAAGTACGAAGTGAAATATATTCATGTTTTTCAAATTTTTTTATAATGTTTTGTTCTCTGTAAAATGTCTTAAATATATTTATTGTAAAACACATTTCTTTAGCCAGTTAATCGACTCAACAGGGTCAAAATTAATCCTAATTTTGCTCTATTCAAATCTTATATGTTGTTTTCTAAATAAAACCAACACAAGTTATCCCATGACAGGTAAAAAAAGGTGTAGGCATTGGACGTAGGAGTAGCGACACTCTGAGGGGGGATGGAAAATGTATTACGAAGAGGAATGGGGTGGTGGGTCAAGAGTAGGGTTGTTTTTTTTTTTTTTTTAATTAAGGTGTCCACCTTCGACGACTATTCCTTGAATCTGTGATCTGGCTCCTCTTCACACAGATCAATTAAACCGCGGGATGTGCCTCCTACTGACCAGGGTCCGAGCGCCTCTCCAATTGAACTGCCAAAGTGCCTAGTGAGTCAATTCACGTTGCGCCTTGCCTTCCAAGAGCCCCACGAATTGAACCCACGACCTCTGAACTGCCAGCCTTGAGAGAACCATTCCTTTACCAGTAGAGAAGTGCCCCGAGGGCCAAGAGTAGGGTTGTTGATTAGGGAGAAAGAAGATACAGAAGGGATTTATAACGTCACGTGTTTGTTTTTCGTAATTGTCATGTTTATCTAAATCATGTATTAACATTACATTTATTGCTTAAGTAATATAATTGTATTTGTCTTGACTAATTATATTTTTCTACAAGGAAGTGTACATTAAACAATTTAATTTGTTTATAAGTTTAATAAAGCCTATATTGAATAATAAAATATATTGTATTATGTGCTTTCAACTTATCTTGTTTTTGGAATAGAAACTAGACTTATCCTTGAAAACACTCATAATTCTATACTAGGAAAACTATATTTAGTTTAATTAGATTAACAACTAATCAAGAAATTTGGGATCTTGAGTCGGAATGAATAAGCTTGTAATTAGTTAATTCGTATACATAATACATGAATTTTATATTTGACATGTACAAGAAATATGCTCACTGCCTATTTATTCATTAAAGTTATCGTACTTTTAATTCATTTGTACCAACCTCATTCTAAAACAACGTTGTCAATGTGGGAATACTTTTATTTTATTTGTCAAGAATTAATGATAGAATAGATATGGTTGATTTAATACTTGTCAATGGAATCTCGAGTAGGGTTGTCCAAATTATTGATTTTAATACTTACCAATAAACTTTTAAAAAACTAGCAAAACATACCCATATTTAATTGAATTTCTTTCTTGTCCATTATTTCAAAATAATTTAGATGTTCTAACATGGTCATAGGTTGGTATCATCTAATTGTTGGTAACTTTAGATAAATATTGGTGCCAAATATTAGTGTGGTTCCTATTTCTTTGGCTTGCTCCCCCAATTTGTTTGCACATCAATATAAGTTTTGAATCCAGTAATGCAATTCAAGTGTTATACATATATAGTAGCTAGATCTAACTACATCAAAGTTGTTTAATTATAATAAATAATGAATATGTAGAAGTTTTAAAATCGATGGTTATGACTTAGGACACTTGACACGTTGATTTGTGAACTGCTAGGGACATTTCTATTTGTCATTTCTAAACTTTATGAGGACTCAAGGTAAGTAAACCTTCCCTTATTTTCATACTATATTATATTATTAAATGTATAAATATATCACCTCAATTTACCAGTATGTGAAGATGATATTTGATTATTACAATTTATGTCATTAACGTTTCCCATGACCAATGAGGTGATGAATATTATAAGAAAATACATGTATTCTAAATATTTTGTAAAGAGACATATGTCTATGCTATGAAAGGTTTGAGTGAAAAATAGGACGTGGAACTGGCACACCCGACTAATGTTTAATGTTTATCGTTAACCGTTTTACAATATTATCGATAGATTTAATGGGTTCAAATAACAATGGCCTACTACATTCAAATTGGTAAGACGATACATTAAAAAATGATCCCCACGATATCAATGTTGAAGTTTTTAAAGGAATAAAAGAAAGAAAATACATATTGGGAAAAATTACTTTTAAAGTAATGCGTATGCATATCATAAATATACATCGTATGCAGTGAGACAGACTTAGTATTAACACATATAAATATTGACTTTGTTTCGAAATAAAGTTAATATTTAATTTATTTTCTTATATTTTTATGAGGTGCGAAAGTTTTTTTAAATTCTTTTCATAAATGAAAGTTATTAATATTTATTGTATTAAAGAAAAATCATTTTTGGTATTAATTAAAAAGAATTTAAATGATAATACTTCCAAATTTACAGTAACGGTAAGAAATACATTATTAATATAATACTAATTTTGTATGATTAAGAAGTTTTTACACGCCTTTTATTTACTTCGCAAATAAATTCTTCTCAATAATAATTTGATATTTGAAGAAGTCAGTCCGTCGCACGATAATGGCCTGCTTCTAATGGTTATCAAGACAATTAGGCATTTTAGTGGACTTTAGTGAAGGTGCTTGCAAGCATCATGATCCGACAATACTTTCTTATTTTTTTATTTCATTTCTGCCTTTACAATTACGTGACCACAAATTAGTAATATTTTTGGTGGGTTGGGGCCAAATTATGGAAAATTTGAAATTGTGGGTGGGTGTCGATAACTATGAAATTGATAAAGAATGGAACATTGCGAATGATGTCAACTACATTCTCGATTGAAAAATGCTCTCAACATTAAAGTGAGGACCATAGTCTTCTTTTTTCAACACAAATAGTACATAATATTTGTCTCAATATAATGAGAAATGATCTATTAAGTATCATTGTTTATTGCTGTAAGCAACAATGACATAAATATCAATTAATTGGTCCATAAATTTATGCTGGATCTCAATATTAAAATAAATTTGTTGACTTGATGTATTATATCAGTGATACTTAACATAAATTGAACAGCGATTTAATTGAGTCTCTCACCTCAATGACCTCTAACATGTCTCACAATGACCTTAACTTTCTGGATATAAGTACTTTGATACATATCTTACAAGGATGTCATATGTCTATTTTAGCTAATTTTCTTGTTAGTGTTATCCCAACAATTCTTTTGAATGCCTCTTCACACGTTGAGGACATGGAGAGAAATAATAATAAAATTCAGGAGAGAGGATTGGATAATAGGTAATTTCAAATTTGTAGGATTTTATTTGAAATGTTCACTAACTTGATTTATAATTGGTTTGTGACTCATTGGATTCCGAAGACACACTTGAGCTGATGTGTTGTTCTTATGGGGTTAGTGATAATACGGTCCATCATTTTTATTTAAGTTTTCATAGATTAAAATTCCTCGGGAGTGAACTTATTAATAGAAATTGAAAGAATGTCTTTATTATCGACCTTTCATTTAGCCCTGTTTTACCCTATTACCTAAAATTTATTTTCTTTAAATTTATTTGCAATAGTACATTAAATTTGACTCACAATTTTTATTCAATTTCCAACTACACATTTTATCAAATTTTATCAAAATCTATTAAAAATTTTAATTTTTTTAAACCACACAGGGGCTTAGAGGGATTAGGGATCTTCAACATTTAAGATTGAAGTTTCATGTCCTTGGCATATTTCTACACTACCATAAAAGAGAGAATGAGGGTTTACTGTTTATTTTTGTCACACCTGTTTTCACATTTAACCGGTTTGGAAACTGATTTGACAACAGGAAAAATTTTATTCAAAAATACTGAAGGAATTTTGTCACACGCCATTGTCTACTGCAATATTTCTCCCTTGCTATGAATCTGACACACCATGCTCTTTCTCCTAATTCTCACGCTATTAACTATCAACTATATCTTATACATTTAAATTTTTAAAATTATATTAATAAACAAAATTATTGTAAATAAAATGTAAATAAAAAAATATTCACTCCGTGCATGGAGAAAAAAATTTATGTCATACCACATAATTTTTCTTGAGCAAAATGATGTATTGAGAAAATTGTTTCGAAAAAATAATAAATAGTAATAAAATAATTGATTTTTTTTAAAAGAAAAACGACTTATACGTATTTTTAACACATATGTTTAATGTCCGTTTAACTATTTTCGATATTCATTTAGATCATTCGACGTGTCTATAGTTCTCGAAATAAGTTTCGAAAGAATGTAAAATATTTATCGATTCGGCTATCGTACAATCGTCAATAAAATTTTAAAGTTAGTTTATTATCGAAAATTTCAAAATATAGTGTGAAAATACATATTTTGACGTCCCGTAACATTTGCTACGATTAGCCGTTTCACGCACCGTTAACGATGTGCAATACTATGCCGCGAGTACTTCAAAATGATATTAAGAATGTAATATCTCGACTTCATTTGTTATCCTGTAATGAGCCTAAAAATGAACACAAAAACATAAGTTAGAAAAAAACAAATATTTAGCAAACCTCC